TCTCTCATCATTGATGTTTCTATCTCTCTATCCCTCTCTCTTCCTCTTGTAAAAAATTAAAATATATTAAAAAAAAAAAAAAAGAATGCACCACTCTGGACCAAAGTGATGCCCAGAAACAAGTCGTCCCTCCTCAGGAGCCGCTTCCCCCTTGTGCTTCAGCTCGTGCCCAGGAGTTATACAACCCCAGACAAGATGAGGTGCCAGGTGTTTTCATTTACAGAAACTCTCAGCTACAGTTCGTGCTACAATGTTCACCGCAGTTCACCAGAAAACTCAAGCTCCTGGGCCTGACCTACCCTTGGAATCTTGGATATCATTGCACAGTATCCGCTCTGACTATTCTCCCCATCCTGAGGCGCCGCAGAGCTCAGAGTTCCATACAGCAGTGCACTCTGGTTATTCTTGCCCATTTTCAGGAACACTTCACTTTTGCCTCCAATTGTCTTATCCGAAGTCACTATCCACTTGTCCAAATCTTCTTTTCCACGGAACTGCCAGACAACTCTGGCTTGTTCCAGAATGATCTCCTGCAGAGGGCGGCCTTCAGGCCCTATCCAATGATTCACAATCTCATCCTTCAAACGCCTAAAATGTTCCTTGATTTCATCTTTAATTGCTTTATCAAAACTAACTTCAGGCTTCTCCTCAGGAGAAGGTATATCCAAAGCAACTTCTCTCTGATCTCCTTGCAAACCCCCTGCAGAGGTCCTCTGAGTGGAAGCTTTGCCAGGAGTAGCCACTGGTTTCTGAAGACTACTGGAACAATAGTCTGCAGAGCGGGTACTCAAAAATGGACATGCGGCAACACTTGGCTTTAGGCCTTTACTGAGAATATAAGTGCCATTCAGCAATTTGTGAACCAGAGCCATAGTAAGAACAAGTCAAAACTTAAATTTCTCCCTGGGCTACCAGAGAAAGAAGCTTCACCAATAGCCCAATTCCACCTATAATAGAAGAGACATCAAAGAGTTACAAGTGTAGCAAAAAACATATCACAATTTCAAATTCAACATAGATCATGTATTGTGAAATTCATGAATTTATTTTCTAACTCTACAAACATTTATCCAGGATGTATGACGAGAATACTGTTTGCACTATACATAATGCATCCAGCTACCTTGTGAAAAAAATACCAAAATAAATATAAACACAGAGCCCTTCATGGAGTTTATGATTAATCGACCCCAAAATAATTCAAGTATGTGTTTCAAAAGATTGTGTTCATTTTAAAACAAATTTTTATGCTGATTTTGTGCTTTTATTGTTTTTCTGGTTTTGTTTTGTTTGTTTTTTGGCAACTCTACCAGGACTAGATTTTTAAAGAAATAATTGGTTTCTAGAATAAAATATTCAACTCATTCACTCCAGGACCTAAGCTAATTGACATGTTAGTCTCTTTAACCCTTTCAGTTAGCACTTCATAAAAAGAGGGACTTACAGCCCAGGCCACAGAGCTCAGTTGGTTGGAGCATCATCCTGTATACCAAAAGGTTGCAGGTTCAATTCCCGGGTGGGGCACCTAGGGGAGGTAACCAATCAATGTTTCCTTCTCACATCAATGTCTTCTCTCTTTCTCAAAAATCAGTGATGCCCTAGCCGGTTTGGCTCAATGGATTGAGCACTGGCCTGTGGACTGAAGGGTCCTGGGTTCAATTCCGGATTGCGGGCTCATCCCCAGTAAGAGGCGTGCAGGAGGCAGCTAATCGATGATTCTCTCTCATCATTGATGTTTCTATTTCCTCTCTCCCTTGCCCTTCCTTTCTTTCAAATCAATAAAAACATCTTTAAAAAAGCAAACTCCAGCCCTAACTGGTTTGGCTCAGTGGATAGAGCGTCGGCCTGCGGACTGAAGGGTCCCAGGTTCGATTCCGGTCAAGGGCATGTGCGTTGGTTGCGGGCACATCCCCAGTGGGGGGTGTGCAGGAGGCAGCTGATCGAGGCTTCTCTCTCATCGATGTTTCTAACTCTCTATCCCTCTCCCTTCCTCTCTGTAAAAAAATCAATAAAATATATATTTAAAAAAAAAAAAAAAGCAAACTCCAGGTAAGATATTAAAAAAAAAAAAAAGAAAACTTTGACTTGACGCTTCGCCCTACCCTCTTATTAGGTTGTAAGTATTGTAAATATTGGCAATTTCGTATGGCGAAACCTACTAACGCTGTTTACCCTCAGGTAAACCAGTTGATCTTCCGAGGTCTCCATTTCCTTGGGGGTAACAGTTCCCTTACCTACCTTAAGGGATTTTTCTAAAGACCACATGGAACGATGGCTATAAGAAGGGTCTCTGATCCAGTAAGTCTAACAGGATCTCCAAGGTTCTTCATATCTAACAAGCTCCTAGTCCAAGGCTCACACTGAGTAACAAGGCTTTGACTATCAGTCACAATGTGAGGTCCTCAAAGATAGAAATAAACAGTAACACTAATACTATCACATTTAAACACCATTCTCAAGATGTTCAAGCCACTTTGACGTATCTCATTTAATGCACATGTGACTTCTGTAAGACAAGGCAGGTAGATATTTCCTTTCTCAGGGAAACAAGACACCAACCGATAAGCGGCTTGCTGAAGCTCACAATGTCAATCGGTATGGAATCTCCAACTCGTGTGCTGGCCTGAGGTCCTTCCACTTGCTGCTGCCGCCTCTCTGTATGTATAGCATTACCAATATAACTGTCACTCTAGCAAAACAACAACCTTGCTCTTCGAAACATTTCTTATGTGCTGGCAGGAAGTGCTGCCAGAACCAGGATGACCGCACGGTCCCCTCTCCTACCTGTTCCAGCTACAAGACCATATATGCGAACATAACAAGTATAAAAACGTACAGAGGTCCTCTCCCTCCCAGGAGGACACCGGTGTGGTTCCCCTTCCCCTCAGGCACGCATCTCCTAACTCTAAGAGATACCACCACCCCCCTCCCCCGGGAGACTTGCAACCAGGGGAGCAATGGGCAGCAGCACCTGACGGCGGCTGACCCCCTGAACCTGTCCCCAAGGCCCCCTTTTCGCCGACTCTGCAGTGAGCGCAGCAGCCCTGCCCGGGCTCACTTCTTGCCCACAGGTCTCTAGAGAGCAAAAGCAGGCCCCTGCAGTCCCTCTATTGTTTCTTCTGTCCTAAGTCTTCCTGTCTCACTGTCCCCAGCTTTAATAAACCTACTCTCACAATAAAAAGTACTGGGCTTTGGAGACAATCCCACTGTCGGTTGTCTCCAAAATATTCTTTAAAATTATAATATATTTGGGTGGGGGAGAGCAGGGAATAAAAGTCTTAAAGTCTAGTATAGAATGATGGGATGATGAGTAATAGTCACCCTGTTTCCCAAACCCTCGGTAGTGTTGCTACGTCTCTAATATAACTGTAATTATAAACGTTCGTTTCATATTTTTACCAATAAAGTCAAACCCGTTAACGGGTGATCCCAGACTGAAGGTCGTGGCTTTTGCAGCAGCTAAATGGAGCAGTCTTTAGAAAGATTGTGTATCTAGGGTTTACCATGTGCCAGAAACTGTTCTAAGTGTATTTCCATTGGCTCCTCACAGCAACTCCGGGAGAGCTACTATTATTATTACCGAGGTGAGAACCCGGAGGTTCCAAGATTCAACTACCCGAGGTCATTACAGCTACTAGGTAGCAACACTAACTCTAGAGCCCTGGCAATAAGCTCCCAATCCGATCGGGGTGTGGTCCCCTCAGCCCTCACCTGCTAGGCTGTGTCGCCCTCGCACGTCCGGGACACGCGAACGCCCAGCAGAGGCCCACTCGCCCTCCCCACCGGGGTTCACGAGTGGCCTCTGCCCGGGTCCCCAGCTTTTCCCGACCGGGCACTCCACTTTCCGGTGTCGGTCCAGCTGCTTTTACAACCCGGCGCCAAACCAGGCGTTTTGACACTAGAGTTCCGGTCCGATGCGGAGGCCTAGGGCTAGTAACCAAGATCCCTAAGCCAGTCGACCCGAGGCTTTTGGTCTCTACTCGCTTTCCAAAAAGCCCGGTTTCCACCACTCCTGATCTTTTCTGTCCCATGTGAGAGAAAGGAGAGAACTTAGACAAACTATTCGTCTTTTCCTGCATCCCATCTTCAGGCTGCAAACTCCATCCCGCATCTTTCAAATCGGACCCTTGTGTGGCTAACGTTCTTTTCGCCGGGAGGCGCCAGGGTCCCCTCGCGCCCCATGGTGTTCCCGCGCCCCAACCGCCGGAGAGCTGTGACCTCAGAGAACTGGTTCTACTGGAATTGCCCCCGCGGATTGGGAGACCCAGCACGCACCTGGGCAGCAAACCGTTGTGCCCGCCTTTTCCCTACCCCGCCCCGTGGGGTCGCCCACTCCACAAGGCTTCCAGATCTTGTGCACACTTTTATTTAAGCACTTTGAACATTGTATCTTAATTGTTCTTTTACTTCTCAGGTCCTCCAACACGCGGTGAACTTCTTGGGTCCAGACCTGTCTCCAGCACCTAGTATAGTGCTAGAAGGAATTAAGGGCTCAGCTTGAATTGGAAAGAAGTGTAACCCCTGGATGTCAACACCATTCCCCTCCAGGCTTCAGAAAATAAAATTGCTTTTTCCAAGTTTCCTCCATTACTCGTTTCCACGCCACCAACTCTTCCTTCTTGAAATTCTGCTTTGACTTCTCTAGTCTCTACACTTGCCTAGTTCTCCTATCTCCTCCATCCTTCCCCAGCTGCCTCCTTCACTGACTCTTCTCTTCCCACAACCTTAAGTGGGGTTGTCTCCAAAGCCCAGACTGCACCCTCCCCTTTTCTAGCTTCAGATATGAATTATCTAAAGACAATGTGAGCATCCCTTTCCCTACACCCTAGTAAACATTTTCAACCTCTCCATAGCAGTTCCGGATACTAGTACACCACTAGCATCTCAAATTCAGTATGTCTAAAATTGAATTAGCCCAGCTGGCATGGCTCAGTGGTTGTGCATCCACCTATGAACCAGGAGGTCACGGTTCAATTCCCAGTCAGGGCACATGCCTGGGTTGTGGGCTCCATCCCCAGTAGGGGGTATGCAGGAGGCAGCCGATCAATGATTCTCTCTCTCATCATTGATGTTTCTATCTCTCCCTCTCCCTTCCTCTCTGAAATCAATAAAAATATTTTTAAAAAATAAAATAAAATTGAATTACCCATATTAACATCCTTCTAAACTGGAAATCTTCGGCTATTCTTGGCTTCTCTCCTTAAGACCTCCTCTTGGGGAGCTGAGGCCTGGGCCCAGTATCCTCCTAGAAGGTTGGGTCCCTTCCCCAGACTTGGGGTGGGAGCCCTGCCAGCACCAACACCACCCTTGCCCCAAGTCTTTTAACCTGGGTGTTAACATTTTAGAGACCCCTCAGGAGTTCTGGCCACCAACTAACTGCTCCCTCCCCAGCCAGGACCTCTTGGTAAGACTGTAACTACAGTAGTGATGTTTGTACAACCAAAGACTCTATTTTGTGGTTTAAGGAAAATAAAATTGACTACGTTAAAAAAAAAAAGGCCTCCTCTCACTAATCCTAAATGCTATTGAACTCTCTTTGCTGTCTTTTATCTTTGGCTCCTTCTTTCCAAACCCAGTGAGAAACCTGGATTAGTTACTGCTCTTATACAACTTACATTCAGTCTATTGACTGCCCTACTCTGGACGCAATAGTTTGTCTATTTCCATTTTTAAATGTGGCACCCAGAGCTGGACACCATATTCCTTTGGCCTCCAGATGTGCCACTGCATACATTCTAAACCCTCCATAATACCTACTCCATCTATAAGACTCATATTTATCCTCAATTTCTTATCCAAGCTAGAATCTGCCTAAACCATACTCATTCCTGCTCATAATAGAATTAATATTTTCTCTGCTCAGCATTTTTTAAAAAATATATATTTTATTGATTTTTTACAGAGAGGAAGGGAGAGGGATAGAGAGTTAGAAACATCCATCAGCTGCCTCCTGCACACCCCCTATTGGGGATGTGCCCGCAGTGCACAGGCCGACACTCTATCCACTGAGCCAAACTGGTTAGGGCTCTGCTCAGCATTCTTCCCTCTTCTGCATCTCATAAGTTTGGTCTCAGGTGTTTACATGACTCCCCTCACTTCAGCTGATTGGTCCAGTGATGAGCACCTGGTCTGCACTGGGTCAATCAGTTTATTCCCAGGAATTTTCTGAACGAAAACTGGTGGCTCTTTTATATCTGGTGGCTCTTGTGGAGCTCCTGGGCTACCTGCTAATATTGTGAAGAAAATTGGTTTGCAACAAGATAAAATGAAGGTACTGAGAGAGATGGGAATAGGAGGATAAAAGAAGGCTCAGTCAGCATTTATTTTCCCAGTTCTAATTGTTCCCGAGGTCCAGTTGCAGCATCTTGCCATGGCTTGGTTATTGAGTCTTTCCTTGACTTTCAAGCACCAATGAATTCCTTTTGCCTAAATTAATCTGAATTTGGTTTCTATCACTTGCAACCAATAGGTCCTCATTGATACATTGACTGCAACTATTCAGAACACAACTTAAATCCCATGTTCTCCTTAAAAACTTTCCCTAATGTGTCCATGTCATAATGATTGCTCTCCGGGCATCCTATAATATTTATTTTTTATGTTATATACACTGACACTTAATTACGTTCAAATGAAAACTAGATTATAAGCTTGACTGCACTGCTCATTCATTGTTTTATATACAAGCCTTTTCAACAGGAGGGTAAAAACCTTGAAGGTAGTGATTTTTGTCATATATATTAAAATATGTCTTCTACAGTAACCTGCACAAATTTACACACAGAGTGGTTACTGCCTCAAGAGGTCAAAGGACAAATTTCATGAAAACCTTTAAGAAGGGCTGCAGTAACACAGGCCAGTAAAAAAAATATTGCAATAGTTAAAGCAGGAGGCAAATTATTCAGTAATTTCATATCTTGATGAAGTCTCTTCAGAGTTTAAAGACAATCAGGGCATGATCCAGGCAAAGGAAATACATTATTTTAGAAAATGAAATGACCTTGTGGGAATTTTGGGTCATGGTGGTATCACTATAGATCCAGGGTTAGTTCCCTGCCCTGCTGATCCAGGAACTTGTTTTCTCAAGAGGATTACTTCTTGCCAAGCAACTTCACAGGAAGACAAATGACAAACCAGAATGACCATTTATTCATCTACAACAAAAAATGGGCCTGATGTGAGAATTGAGGCCATCTATCTGGGACAGTCCCTCCTGATGGGGAAGCCCACCTTGCAGTCCAGACAGACTAACAGGTGAGGAGGGTCACCTAATTAGAAAGAGCTGGCAGTGTTCAAAGGGACTTTCCATTAAACAAAATGAATTGTCTACCCTTCCTTTGGGGATATTTCTATCTGCAGCTCTGATGCCAAGCTTTTTGTGATGTCACTTTAATAAATATCTAGACACACACACATAAAGCAAGCCTTGGCCTATGTGGCTCAGATGATTGGGTGTCCTCCATCCCATGCACTGAAAGACTGCCGGTTTGATTCCCAGTCATTTGATAGGTATGCATTTCTTCCACTTTCATTCCCTTCCACAGTTGTGAATCTCAGGGACACTCCCTGATAAGCATCCTGCACACTAAACTCTATCTCAGAGTCTACTTTTTGGAGAACCCAACTTGCAACAGTTGGTGCTAGAAGTGGTCCAAGAAGCAGGCAATAAAATAATGTTTAGAAGTTGGGTTACCTACCACACAGCTGGCAACAAAGATCTGGTGGTCCAATTGTTAAATATTTCATTATCGGTGAATAGGGATAGTATGCTGGTGGAAGGGAATGTACCAGCTGGTGGGGTGTATCAGGCATTTAAAAAATATGGGAGGACATCTACACTAATAAAAGAGAAACATGGTAATTGGCGTACGACCGCTACCCTTCCCATTGGCTAATCAGCATATCCTTATGCAAATTAACTGTCAGCCAAGATGGCCGCCGGCAGCCAGGCAGCTGGAAGCGAACATGAGGCTTCCTTGCTTCAGTGACTGCAGACTCCAACATTCCCCGCCTCACTTGCCGGCCTCTGAGTTGCAAATCTAATCAACTATGTACTATGTTGTAAATAAGAAGCTAAACAAAACCCTAGAAACCAGCTTTCAACCTGCCGGGATCTCAGAGCTGAAGTTATACATTGTTTCGATTATAGAATGGCAAACAAACCAGATACGAAGCCTCAGAGCTAGAGCCAGAGCTAAAGCTGGCCCAGAATAAAATAAAAAAAGAGAAAAAAAAGGAGCGGTTGGGAGCTTCAGTCAACAACCGCCAGCCTGAAAGCAGCCCTCAGCCCCTCACCCAGACTGGCCAGGCACCCCAGTGGGGACCCCCACCCTGAAGGGGGTGTGACCAGCGGCAAACAGCAATCATCCCCTCATCCAGGCTGGCCAGGCACCCCAGTGGGGACCCCCACCCTGAAGGGGGTGTGACCAGCTGCAAACAGCCATCATCCCCTCATCCAGGCTGGCCAGGCACCCCAGTGGGGACCCCCACCCTGAAGGGGGTGTGACCAGCTGCAAACAGCCATCATCCCCTCATCCAGGCTGGCCAGGCACCCCAGTGGGGACCCCCACCCTGAAGGGTGTGTGACCAGCTGCAAACAGCCATCATCCCCTCATCCAGGCTGGCCAGGCACCCCAGTGGGGACCCCCACCCTGAAGGGGGTGTGACCAGCTGCAAACAGCCATCATCCCCTCATCCAGGCTGGCCAGGCACCCCAGTGGGGACCCCCACCCTGAAGGGGGTGTGACCAGCTGCAAACAGCCATCATCCCCTCATCCAGGCTGGCCAGGCACCCCAGTGGGGACCCCCACCCTGAAGGGGGTG